AAAAAAAAAAAAAGAATAGTTGAAGTTTAAAGAGTTATTTTGCATATTTATTAGTTTGTTCTTTTTTTTTCAGATTTATATCTGCATTTGGAGAAAATTGACGGCAACATATATACCCATACATACACATACAAATATATAGGGGCAACAACAAAATAAAATTTGGCAAATGAAGATGTGCAACACTGATGAATTTATAATATATGAATAAGAATAGGCAAAGACGAAAAAAAAAACTGGTTAAATAATCAAAAATAAAGCAAAGAAGAACGAATTTTTTCTTTTATTTTTTGGCCTGTCTGTTGTCAATAAACCACTCGAAGATTTGCAGATTGCGCAGTTGGGGAAGAAAAAAAGAAGAGGAGAAAATAAAGAAGGGCAAAAAAATCGTCAAATATATGTTGTTTTTGCGTCATACAATTAGGTTTAGCTGTTTTTAGTCTAATTTAAAGATAAAAATTAATCAAGCATCAGCATTAATCTGTATACCAAATGTAAAGCTTTTTTTTTTTTTAAGGTGTAACTTTGTTCTCTTGATAAACCCTCGTCTTTTTTTATTTATTTTTCTGCATTTGCACCTAACTTTAATAACAACAATAATTTTGAAAAGCGATAAAGGGTTTAACACTTTTAATAAACTGCATACTTTTTTTTTGATCGTTTTTTCTTTTTTGCTTTTTATAAAGTGTATGTTTGTTTAAAAATAACAGGTTTTTATTAGCCGTTTATTTATTGCTTTTTTTTGCAGTTATTCAACTGAAAAATATTAAGTACTATAAAATAAACATCAGAAAAAAAAGCGATTTTGTGATGAAACTTTTAAAAGTTGATAAATTTAAACAAAGGAAAAGAAATTATGCATACATTTTTTTTTTACCTCATCTTTGAAAGAAAAACTATTCAGACCAAAGATCGATCAACGTTTTAATCAGTTGCTGTCATTGGCAAAGATGTTGCAGGTATTCCGATAATAGTTTTCTATTTATTTATTACTGTGAAACGTTAGGTTTCAACTTGGAAGGTTTTCACCATATGTTGGAACCCTTCCGAACCACTTGCACCCCCAACTTTTTTTTTGTTTTTTTGTTTTATGCCTTTGATCAACGGCACAACTATCTCATACACACCTCTAATAAAGTTTACCCCTAAAATACCCCCATCCCCCTCTCTACAACTCTCCTACAGTTTACTTTACAAGTTTTTTGATTTTTGTTGCTTTTTTTTCCTGACAATTAGTTAACAAAAATATTTGGCTGCTCAGCTTTAAATTATGCATTTGTTATAAGCTAATGTTGTCGACTTTTTATGTAAACTTTCCTTTCTTTTTTTTTCTCTAGAGATCTTTTTTTATTTTTTTTGTAAATGTTGAATAATGAGCAATCTACAAGTTTTGCTTGATTTTTTTTCCTCTCATAC